GGCATCAGGCTCCTGAAATCAGGAGTGCACCCTAGAGGTGCCGGCATTGAATGCTGCTCTTTGGGACGCCTAGCGAAGACCTTTCGCTGCGAGGGAAGAAGAAGTAGTAGTAGTAGTAGTAGCAGCCGCGGTGGTCGTGGCAGAGGCAGTAGTAGGAGGAGAAGGTTGAGGAGGAGCAGTAGCAGCAGTACTAGTGCTGCTGGCGGTGCTACTGACATCAACATGGGCAGGAGCAGCAGACGCAGTACGGGGAAGCGGCTCACTCGTACCGCACTTTTGCCGTTGTCGTAGTAGAGAAAATAGTTGTGAGCCTCACACTTACGCATACAAGCTGCAGCCATGAGAGGTGCATCCTAGCTGCCGTTCTGACCCAGGCGCTTACTTTCGTTCGCTGTGCCCAGAAATTCATGCCAGCCATGCCAGCCCTCAGCATACCAGACATATCGCTGTTTGCGTCCCGCAATTCTATGACAACTGCGACCGCAATGCCGTGTGAGCTTCTTCTGAGTTGACAGCGGCGTCTTGCTTACACGACCGCTGGGCACCTGCAGGAGCAAGCTCAGACATGCCCGACAAATTTCTGCAAAACAACACCGCCTTGAACGTGGTTACGTCAACGAAGGGAGTCAAAGTATGATCCTGCCAAGATGCTGCGATCAGCGGCTACGGGGCTCTCTTCATGGAAAGGCCTGTGGCACTGCTTCAAAGTTCTGGTATAGGCAAAGACCTCGGAAAAGTACCAGCAATTAGAAAATTACAACTATCAACAAGCAACAGAGGGTCCAGGCGGCAGTCACTTGTGTCGAGGTGCCTGAGATGAGCCTGTTTGCCAACCACTCCACGACTGGCACATGCAGCAACATGCAGAGGAAATGCCTGCAGACCCTGTGGCGGTGGAAGAAATAGTTCATCGTGGTCCAAATGGATGACCCAATCGACAGCCTGGCGAAGCGACGGAAGGGACGAACAACACATAACAAGCTTCGACTCACAAGCAAATGCTTCGCTTTGATGGGCTGTGCGAATAGCCTCTGACCCGGAGCCACGAGCAGTGCGCTTCAGTGCATGGGCAATGTTCAGCAGCTGCCTGAAACTGCGCACGCGCACTGGCCACTCGTTTCGCTCAGAGGAAGGCCTGCACATTCGGTCGTCCGTGTACTTTGAGAACTTTGGCCATGTCCTCCACGGTACATCCATGTTTGAAGCAGCGGTGACAGACATGGGACATGGGCGGGAAAGCCGAACCGACTCAGATTTTGAGCTGACGTAACGTGAAGCTCTCACCCGAATGGGCAGGTCTCAGCCATCCCTTCGGGACTGGCGTGACACACCGGCACGTCGCAGCGTGCCGGTGAGGGTCCAGCAAACTCTAGGACAAGGCAGTTGAGGGCCGGCTTTTCCGGCTGTAAAAAAGCCGAAGTACGAGGCGCAAACACTCCCCCGAAAGAAGCTTGTTCCTATCACGTCCGTGCCCAGTGACATGCGTAAAGGAAGGGGAGGCATGCCGCTGCGTAAGAACGGCAAACAGCAGGGAGTCTTTGTCCACATCTAGAAGACTGGCTGGGCCCTCAAAGTTCCGCAAAGGCACAAATCGTGACCCACAAACAAGCATCTTGCCGAGTGCGAATGCACCCCGCAAGACACCAAATATTGAGGCATTGCCTTGAGTTGGTGCGCACTGGATGTCTAAGGCCAAAGGAAAGGTTCGTGATCGATTGCTCCTTATGTCCAACAAGAGCTTCCAATCTTCCAAGTGTGCGCATCACACGGCGGAGAAACCTCACTGCAAGAAGAGCGAATTCCTCTTCCTTCTCAACCAAGCAGCAGAGAAAAGTTCGATAGACTCAATAAACCAGGACTGTGGAGTTTCCTAGAAAATCTTGAGCCTCGAGTCGCCACCAGCTACCTAGTCATTGAAGACTGGCAGCACTCCTAACAAGGCTCGTTGCCTTTCTGTGAGACGAACAGAGCTGTCCTCAGACCACCTGCCATGCTACTTGAACTTGGCAGTGTCAAGCATTCAAGCTAAAACGTGGCAGAGCTCACGCTCTTGCTGAAGGCACCACAGCATCGTGCTTCGGAGCTTCGTGCTCCTGAGGGCCTCGCAGACAGGAACTCATCCCATCTGTGACGCGCTCTGGTTGAGCTGAGACCGAAACGCCGCGGCCTGTCCGCAACACTATGCAAGCTAAACAGATTCGGGACAAGCAACAATCCAAGCCTCTGCAGGAGCTACCTGTGAGGAATGCTTTATCGGAGCCACGTGATGGCTGGCTTCCGCTTGGCCTTGTTCAACTCTTCAACCTTCATCTTGTAGTCTTGGTCGGATGCCTCAAAAGGGTTGAGCTTGAGGCTGCAAGGCTGCATTGCTACCTTCATCATCAGGACTCCCGACCAGGTCTCCCTTCTCTGAAGGTGCGTCCGATACAGAATACCCATCCTGCTTGTGACAGGCGTTGCAGCGGTTTGCAGCTGCACATCGATCCCAACTGTGGCATTGCAGCTCAAGCACTCACTGTCGGCCTCATCCTCCCCGTATCCGGGATTTGGTTCTCTGTCTCCCAAACCTGCACAGAGCTGTTTGGACGCTAAACACCCGGAAGTGCTTCGCAGCCTTGAGCTCGAACGTAGCGATTCAACACATACCGAAAAATGAACCTGGGCACCGGCGAGCATTGGTGAGACCCTGACTCTGACGGACGAGGTCTTGGCGGAGCGAAAATGGTTGCCCATAGCAGAGCCCAGATGACGATGGAGAACATGTCCTAATCACCGGACCAGGATACACACACCGGGCGACGTATGTATAAAGTCGGCACCCTCACCTTGTCCAGCATGTTGGCAGCTGCGGCCATTTGTGCAATCAAGTATGCGAACTCGGCTCGACCTCGGAACACGGATGCTATCCCTTCAAACGTCAAGCTCTTAATTTCCAACCCACAGCTCTGACGACTCCTGCGAAGAGTTTCACATTGTAGATTTATGGCCCTGGCCGACCATGGCCCAACCAATGACCCATCGCGCCTGCAGAGCTGCATTGCAGTGCCAACCATAGAGTGGGTGCCCAGCTGCGCCAGCGACAGGCCTCGCCCATGAAGGGCGCACAGCAGACCTTCGTAAGGATGCAAGGGCCGATGCCCATGAGGGCACCTTTCCAGACCGCCTGCGCAAGGCAGCAAACGCTGCTGGGATCCCTTCCCGCAGAGTGAACTCTCGAAGGCAAAAGCAAGCCAGGATGACTTCGATTGACAGGAGCTTCGAGATCGGGATGGAGAAGGCGACGGTGCATGCAAAAAAGATTCCTAGCATCCACGCAGCATGGCCCAGTTCAGGAAGGCTTGCAGGCGTTGCAACCCTGCCATGCGGAGGCGCATCTGGGAACACGACTGATCATCCAGGATGTCACTCGCTTCGTCTGCTTGACCCAAACCTCAAACGCCAGACTTCTTTTGCCACTGTTACTCCTGTGATAACCCAGGAACTGTGTAACATTCAGGCTAACGAGGCGCGCACGTGGTGAGCATGATGTGGCGGGCTCAGGCATGCAAAGGACATGCCTGCGATGAAGCAGCCCCACCTGGCACAAAGATCAAGATTCAGGAATTGTCCCCATCGCGCAACTAACCGCCAGGATTAACTTGCGGAGTGACAAATGCGTTCCCAGGAAGTAGGTAATGGTACCATATCCAATCTCAGCGAAGCTTGCATGCAACCATGTTCTCTAGAATGCAACTGCTCTTCCAGACTTTCAAGACCTAGGGCGCCTGCTAGAAGGAAAATCATCAACAGAAAGAGCACCTCCCAAGCGGGTCTCTCGAGTGAGACTACAGCAATCAAACTCGGGAACCTGGCCTCATCAGTTTGAGGCACCTGCCCAGCACAAGATCATAGCTGGGATGCACTTCGCTGATGTCATCATGACTCTTGGTATGCCGGATCACTAGGCAGGATGAGTGCCTTGGCACCCTCCTTGACCGGCACTTTCGGAAGCAGCCACTGGCAGTCGTTTTGTGCTTTACAAGCGGGCAGAGGATGGCAAAGGTGCACGGAATGGGAACCAGCCTCGTTGATGAACTTCGGCCAAAACTTCATTGCAAGGTACTGGCATGCGGATCCATTTGGAAAGCAAGCAAACAGCTAAAGCCACACGGTTCCACATTGTGTCGCCCGAGGCACCATTGCAAAGAGCATGACCGCCACGCCAATGCAAGGATTGACTACCACAGCCATGATGTCAAACCTAACGGGTCTTCCGCCACTTCGCTGCATGATGACGGAAATGTAGTTGCACGAAAACTTGACATTTGCCGGTGTCACGAGCAGGGCACAGGGCAAATGTGGGTCAAGTTCGGGGCCCAACTGATAGATCAAAAGGCGCTAAGACTCGCGCTCGCCCCCGAGCGAAAAGAGAACGTTGAACAGAACCTGGGTAAATGCCAGACTCTTTCGCCAGCAAACAGAGTGCGTGCTAGGGCTGATGCCAGGGACAGGATGTCATCCACAAAGGCTGCTGTGATGATCGCCTCGCTTCCGGCTTCATTGAAGCATTCTGCACCAAAAGTCATGCCGACTGACAACTGTCACGTGAGACAGAAAAAGGATTCCAACGGCAAGAAACAACTTTCTGACAGCTTGCAGATGCTGCAATTTCAGGCAACATGTACTTTCGTGAAGATGAGCCAGAAGGGAAGCATTCCGTTGCTTTGCCTTCTTTTGCTGATGCCGTACTTCATGCTGTTGCTCTGCCGGTGCTCTTTCAGTGCTCTGCCACATCCCGGCCCTCTTCGCATCTGTCCTTCTTCCCCCACCAACAGATCTACAGGGAATCTCCGGTCTTGCCGGAATAAATCTGGATCGGCTTGGACCCCTCACGTGCTGAGGCTCCTCACTCCAGCAGCGACGGTAGAAGATCATTGTGGCAAGATCATATCAGATCCCGCTTCAACACTTCTGCGCAGACAGACACGTGCAGAAGCTCAGGCTTTTCAATCTGCCTTTGGAAGAACTTCGTCCCACGCAATACGCCACCCGGTGATCTTTACATGAAGTGCACTGTGCCAGGAGCCCCATGGACATGGTGCGAAGGCTGCTAGTGCATACACCGCCCTGCCATATCGTCACGACGTCCCAGAATTTTAGATACTCTTTGCAACGGCTGCAATGGGTTTGTGCCTGCCCTCGGCCTGGGATGGGCCTCCTACTCTGCCGGGGCCTGTTCCGGTGAACAGGTTAGCGAGATTCTACAAGATTCCGCCTCCATAAATCATGTTACTTAGAGTAGTTTTGTTCTCGTGCATGCCCCGTGCAATCCTGGTGGTCATGTCGAGTGTTGCCAACACCACAATTAAATCCTTTGAGGCTCAAAGGCCCTTGCGAGTTATGGTGCGTGCAGATTGCTTGGAGCCAACTATCCCTTACATGCCGCACCGCAGGTCACTTTAAGCTTTAATCCTTGCATGCCCTCTTGCACAATCTCAACACAAGCTTCTGTACTTTCATGTTAGTAAACCAGATAGAGAACTGTGTCTCAGATGCTGGACATCTGCTGCACTGTCGTTGCTCAGCGAAGACAGAGAAACATGCCGCAAGCTTGATCTGAACTTGACTTCGAGTGCCCAACCTGTGTGTGTCTTTCCATTCTACACGCACCAAGCGCGCAGGCCTGCCCGAAATTCTCTTGCAAGACGCCAGCTTCCCCAAGCAGTCGGAGAGCAATGCCGACACCTAGCGAATCAAGACCCGATGAGTCAAGAAAACTACCGTGCCACTGTGCGAAACTCCCTCTGGCCCGGACTCGTTGGTGCAAGCGCCGTTCCAGCTGAAATGCCGTGTGGGAAGAACCTGACATCCAGAAGCGTGAGATTCTACAAGTAAACTGATCGGATGGATTCCACTGAGACAAAAACGGTTTCCCATACACCATAGTCAAAGCAGCACCAGTGACAAGTGGAAGAACAGTTCCAATGACCTGAGACACAGAGTGCATCCGGAACTCTAAATTCAATGCGTCTTCTACGATCTTCCAAGCAGCAATACTTGCTACACCACCTTAACTTACATCGAAACATCTTGGATGCGGGCTGCAACAACGCATGCCTTGGGGCCGACTACCTCGCGCTCACCATCAGCACCCCACACGGGAACGCACAGCTACTACAAGAAACATGAGATGTCAGGAGTGTGCTGACGAGCCTTCGCCTTTTCGAAATCGAAATGCATTC